TTCATGTATTTGCTATTTAATATTGACTCAATTGAATTTCCATATTCAATTGATTGTGATTTTTTGTTGAAATTGATGCAAATTCTACAAAACTTAATAGAGATGTCCTAGCTGTTAACTTTGAGTAACATACTTTTGATTTTCAACGTAATCTTCCTACCCGATTTTATACATATACATTCAAACTTTATAATTCATAGCCAACTATAATCAGATCTGACAAGTGGGGGCTGTGTCATCTTCAGATGACTTGTTTTCTAAGGGAACGCCCTTAACATATGCGCGTACATTGTAAATCTCAGTGTTTTAATTTACGACACTTATTTGTCCCCAATAGAAAATCACTTTATGTGTTTTATATTTAAACACATTAAATGTTTTTCTTGAAATCGCAAATGAGTATTTTACAACACTGCAGTTTTAAAATAACACTTTAGAAATAATCTGCATGATCTGTAAATATTGGAAGCACTTTCATTTTGTTTTCATTGAAACACATCGTTTTAATTGAAAACACACTGTTGTAATTAAAGACATGTGTATTATATAATAAAACACTTGTATTCGCCATCAAAACAGTAGTGTTTTAGTATTTTTAGAAATACTTATAGATGAAAATAAAGCACATTGTAAACACACATAAATACACTTTTTCAAAATGAAACACTGAGTGTTTTACGGTGACATAAATGTTTCATTAAAGTGTTTATTGATAGAACATTTATTGACTAATGCATCCAACTTCATGCAATCAGTATTGAGTGAAAAGTCTGGGGACTCGTGAGTAAACATTATGGTATATATGTCAACTTGACAATCACCGAACGTGACGAAAATTCAACGCATAATGAGATGGGTCATGACATTACCTCCATAAAGTAATTTTATGTCACGCACCAACCTATATGGTCTTACCAACCTAAGTACAACTATAAATCGAGACACGTGGTGAATTAAGTACATCGTGGCCTAATCTACATTTGGTGAACGGTAGTTGTAGTTCCAATCACATCTGAACATTCTCACATGTTCAATTTGAAACACTTCAGAAAGCAAAATCACCAACGATGTTTCAACCAGTAACACCATACTATAAATGTTTTCAAAGTGTTAATGTATAAGACACATTTGAGTTCATGAGAGTAAAACACTTTTCATCAAAATTGTTTATTTGTTTTATCGTGAAGCACTTTCTAAAACAAACACACATGTAATGTTTCAAGGTAAAACACTCGACTGTGCATGTTTTATAAGTGTTTATGTATACGACATGTACACAATTTCATCAGTGTAACTAAAACACTTTTCTTACAAATTGTTTTATTTTGAGGCACTTCAGAAAACAAACACACATTCAATGTTTCACGGTAAAACACCCGATTATATACAGGACACTTTTGTATGTCGTCTATGGTATATGCATCTATAATGTACACAGTACTTGACTGTATCCAGCATTAGGAAAAAATGATCACACAAGTAACATTTGTTAGCAAGTCATACTGTGTATGTAGCGATAAATTTACCAATTTTAGTATTTTGCGGGTGTGCATACTATGTACTAGTCACAAGTTTAATAACCGGTGGGATTAAACATGCGTTTAATTCGACTTAGTAAGCTGGATGACGCTGCGCTAAACATGCATTAATTCCCTGTGATCTAATCATTAGATTCAATTTCTTTACAGCTCGTATTCTATTGGCGGATCTTCGATGTGAATTCCAGTTTGGTGATTACCACGCATCTGTGCGAATTTTCGCCTAATGTAAATGAGCTCACCTAAGTCTCTAATAATACATAACCATTCATTTTTTTATTTAGAAATTTAATTAATATAATAAATACAATATAAAAACAAATATTGAAAAATAAATAAGTTTTCTACTTCTTTGCAAATATTGTGAGATACCTTTTGTAAACATTTGTTGCATCTTCAAGTAACTGGTAACTTATGTCGTGCGCACGCTCATTCATGATTGAATTATACCATCGGGAGTGTGTGGATAGGTGACATATTCGTTGAAGAAACAATGATAACAACCTGAACCGAATGACGTCTGTTTTTGATTTTTTCAGGAAACAAACCTGAAAGTATGGTGATATTGTTACTCTGTTACGAAGCGTGTGGAAAGTGTAATCGATTGAACCAGCGTCGGCAGTTGTGATATTTGCAGCGGCCTCCTTTCATTTCTTTATGTTCGGCATAACTGATTAAACACAACAATATGAATTTGCAGGACCAGAGAATTCCAAACCACAGTACGTCCATGCCGACACCCCCCCCCCCCCCCGACAAGATCTGAGTTACTAAATAAAATCATAGAAATGTTGCAAAATTTAACCGGTAATTGCAGTTCAATTCGTTTATGGTAATGTTTTTGTTTTCACATTACATGCACGTTAGTTTATAACAACAATAATGTTTTACATGTATATTTCTGATTCAAATGTCGCATTGCTTGAAACAATATTGATAATTATTCAAACATTATTCACTACATTTACTTTTCAGATTTTAAGAGAATCGGAGCGGACAAGATGATATTGCTAATATTCGGAAATAATTTTGTCCTGTTAATATGGATTATTGTTAGTTCTGTGCTCTCGTATTCTATGCGAGAAGAACTTTGGTTAAGTAGGTAAATATATTATAAAAATGTCACACTATCCTTTTTAGGGGTGATTTTTTAACTATAAACACGTATTGAAAAGTGTTTTCACCAGGGACACGTATAAAATTGCGCATTATAACAACACTTTTAAAAGTGCTTTTACTAGACACACACAAGTGTTTATGATCACGACACGTAGAAAAGTGACTCAACCGACATTTTTACTACCACAACAAAAATGGCATAAATGAAAGTGCCCAATCTTGTTCTATGTGGTATTGTTGTCTCGAATGCAGTCCCTGTGGGCAGATGGGGAAAAAATGAAAAATAGTAGAAAAATTCATTAAATCTCGTTCGCTCCTATCTTTTCTCTTGAAATCTGAAAATTATATGCTATCAAAATCCAGTTAATTAACCTTATTGTTTCAAGCAATGCGATATTTGAGTCAAAAATGTGTGATGTAAAATAGTATTTTTATAAAGTAACGCAAGTATGACCACACACAATTAACACGAATTAAACTGCATTTTCTTGTTAAATTCTGCCTGATCATATTTCCAGGGTATGTCAACAAGGAAGTTAAATGCAGTATAGAATGCTCTTGTCCTGTAAATGCATGAACTTGAGTTTAAACAACCCGCACACACAAAATAAAATTAATGGAAGCCGCTGCAAATGCAGTAAAAAAACAGCCTACGCTGGCTCAACAATATCATCATACCTTCAGGTTTGTGATTGCTCAGAAAATACAAAATGGCGTCTCTCAGTCCAAGTTGTTGTTGCTTCTTTAACATATAAGCCACCTGTCCACACACTCCCGTTAGTATAATTCAATTGTTGAATGAGCGTGCGCACGAGTCAATAATAATCAAAAATACCAACATTAACTAATATTCAATTATCATGATGTTTCATTTATTTGCCATACATTGTGAGCTGCTCCAATAACGGGTGATCTCGTTCTTGACCGTCGTCATTCGGTCGTCTTGGTTTCTCATTCACCTTAGAATACCTCAGTCTATTTCCAAGCCATGAAATCAATTGATGTAAACATATTGTACTCTGTCAGCCGATGAAGACCTTCAGAATCAATAGTCGACAAGTCACAGGCTAGATTGGAATGACGATTGGTGTACAGCAATATCCTACATACACGGCTGTAGCCATGCTGCATATCAATTGACATATTCTGAGTTGCTTCAAATGTTCTATTCTTGTGACTAATAGCGCCAATCTCCCGACATTTGCAACCACTCTTAGGTTGTCAAATCAGAACATCACTGTTCTATCCTGAATCGTGTAAAAGGCTGACAATGCTTTCCGTACTCGTGTTAGTTCCGACAAAATTTGAGTCGTTCTCTAAAGAAGTCCATCAGAAGCACAGATTTTTTTCGACATCCTATAGAGTTGCCTCATCCAGTTCATTCAATGTGTTCATGATAATAGTTACGCTCGGTTTAGGTGGAATCAATTTGAATAGTCAACTTACTCAAAAAGACACCCTGATATACGTAGCCTTTATTGTGACTTCTTTACTAAAACAATGTGTCAACATTAAAGACCCCAAACAAATTCCCAGTCTTGTCATCTAGTTACACAGATGGAGCTCTATGCCACACGCACCCTCAAAATAACTTAATGAACCACTGTCCTGTACACATGCAGTAGCGGTGAAATATGTTATACAGATATCTTACATTAATAAAATATAATCTCATTATAGAGAAAATAGCAAAATATAAAATGACGAGTCACATCGTGGGTATACCCTGGCTAACTGTACACAATCTCCTAAATGACGAGTGGCTTGACCAAATGTGCAACACACACTGAGGGCGCTTTCATAACAGTTTTTTTTTGTAGACGTCATACTTTTATATATGCCGTGACACACTGTTTGTATGATTAGGTCAAAAGTCACAAAGGAAAGCAGTTTCACCAAGACGCCACTACATATCAAAGAACAACAATATATCACATACTTAATTCGTGTCGACACAATTTTGTTACACTTAGCGGGATACTCCTATGGTTGCAAACTCCTATGGTTGTGGTGGGTTTCTAATCTACACTGCGCCTTTATTTACTTTTGGAAGTATAGCGAATCTTTTGAGATTTGAGCGAGATTACACAGCCCTCGTGCAACATCGCTTCGTTTATTCTTATTGTTTACGTCGATTGCTAAGCTTCAGTATAAATCGGGATTCTGAGAAGGTGACGATCAGCCAATGAGAAACCGTTAATTTCGACCAATCACGGCCATCATACACCGGCCAATCACAATATTAATTATTTCACCAATCAGCTAGCGTGAAGTACCAGCTAATATAGCATAAAATGAAGAATGTGCGTTGTCAAACATATTCTACCTTACTCTGTACTCGACATGGCACGTACCAAGCAAACAGCACGTAAATCTATTGGTGGAAAAGCGCCACGAAAACAATTGGCAACAAAGGCTGCTCGCAAGAGCGCACCTGCTACTGACGGAGTGAAGAAACCACATCGTTACAGGCCTGGCACCGTCGCTCTTCGTGAGATCCGTCGTAACCAGAAATGTACAGAGTTTATGCTCCGTAAGCTCCCATCATTTGTCGTCTGGTTCGAGAAATTACACACCTACGTCCAATTTCAGTATAAACAATAACATTTATTGTGATATCATACCTAAAATTCCACTCCATTCTCTTAACAAGTACCCTAATATTGCAGTGTAGTACTTCTTCTGGCCAGTACCCCAGAAATACAAAACAAAATGCAAAATGTGTCAATATTGATTGTACCATGGGAACGTTACACAGATATTGTTTGGGCTAGATGTGCAATGCTATTGTTAGTTTATAACTAATTTCTTTCATACATATACACTGATATGAATGGGGCTTTAGGTGATATTTCTGTGTATCTCTAATTGGTTATTAGACAGTGTACGGTTCATTGCGTTCATATACCGTATGTGTGTACTTTGTTGCCCAAGCTAAGAAGTGAGCCATTAGAATATTTGGGGCCAATGACAGAAAAGCTGTGCAAAATATTTGTCCTTGACTTTGTTTTCTGCTATTTTTTATAATGAATTTGTTGTATTTTATCACTGTATGAAAGATTTGTTTGTGTAAAAATTAGGTAGGCAGATTCATTTTCCTATTATTAAAACCATGAGTTTTCCTGTGCAATTTCGTATGTTTAAATTACAACCATCTCCAATATTCCCAATGTTCACACCACAATGTACTTAGTCTATTTCAAATAGTTTGTCAATTCCTTGGGTCGCCCTTCTCTCTTCGACGCTGACTGTCATTTTTAACACGAATGTAACCTTATCGTCAGCTTTATAGGCCACCTATCATATCTATACTTTTTACATATCTCGACTTGGTAGATATCTAGTATATTAGATAAGTAGTTTGGTAACCTCATGAATAAATGAACATCAGAACATAAATGAATTAAAAGCCATGATAATTTCGACGTGTCCATGTGATACATCAATGCTCCAATAATATGCATATCACGAAATAGAGTCAAATATAGGAATTCGACATTAGTGTACGGCATGTCAATTTCTCCACCCACAGAATATGAACATACGGCAATTATAAATACAAATGACAAATATGTATTCTCCTAATTGAGGCTGCAAACATATGAGATTACGATGTGAAACTCAAGATTTGGCTGATTCCTAAATCAACATTAAAGTTACTTTAAATAAAATAACGTTATGCCTTATAACGTTATTATTATTAATAATAATAATAATAATAATAATAATAATAATAATAATAATAATAATAATAATAATAATAATAATAATAATAATAATAATAACAATAATTATAATTATAATTATAATAATAATAATAATAATAATAATAATGAGAAGACGCATTAAATTAATTAACCAACGCATGAATTAATCTTTATTCTTAAATTCCAAACCTTTTTGTATGGATTATCTATATAATCTATTAAAGTCTCCACAGAGAAGTAAAAGCCGGTCTCAAAAGTTGAATGCTAGTCTCAATTTTGTTCTCACGATCTTAAGGTTGCAAAGATTTTGGGATTTACACAAACTAAACCTGTTTTATCAAAATTACATGCGTTATACAGTTTCTTCCCAAATCGTACATGACTCTAATAAGGACAATGATAACGAATATGATTATCGTACTCTAAGAAAAGTGATGTGCTTCATCCATACTAATAGTAAAGATAAATATCATAACGAGTATAATTTTCATATAAAAACGAATACTATTCACACATGCGTGAAATCCGATATTGTGCACGCTGCGGTCTTTACACCATAAATCATGCAGGCAATTTGCGTGGGTGATTTAACTTCAATAGACAGGCAGGTCGTTTTCTACGTCATTTGGTCGAGAAATCGGCAGAATTATGATAAATGTCAGCTGGATATAAGTAAGACGTAAAACAAATCTGTTCAGTTTTAGTGGTTCATTCTTTCTTTGAATTGACTGCCACCATGTCGGGGTTTGAAACAATTTCTTTTACAACAGTTTTTCTTTTTCTTTTCGTTTTGATACTTCTTAAATTTGTCATGAGTCGACGTCAGGTAGGATCACCGCCTGGTCCGTTCGGTCTACCAATAGTTGGTAGTGTGTTCAGTAAGTATATACTCTCTTGTACTTTCTACTTTAAACGAATGTATCAGTATTATAGGTATTCTTAAATGTTGTTATGTAATGTGTGTTTCGGATCGCCGAAAAGTTCATAAACATCCACAAAATGTTTTTAAAAAATATAAAATCATCGATGAGTCGCTGATATTTATTTAGCTGGGAATATTAACGACTGATTTTAAATTGTCTACATCTTGTCTTTATATCAATTGCCGCGTCTTTTTTAATACAGTTGCAGTTTACATTGGAGGTACTAGGGACCAAATATGGCCTCCGAGACCGCGTATTAGCTGAGTGAGCTAATATAGTTTTGTTGTAGCCTGATAATAACCCATACGTTGCTCTATGTGTAGATCTTTTCTTTTTAAGCTGTTACATAAAAAAACGTGCATTTGTTGTCAGTTAAACGTTCATGTTGTTTCAATATATATTTAACTCGTTTCACTGATTTGTTTCAGTTTCGGGTTTTTCGTTTTGAGATTTTCTCTGTCATAGCCGAAGCCTACAGAGATTTGATTTATTATATCTTTTTGCAATTCTTGTTAAATCACAAAATTTAATAACGAAGATATTTTGGCTATAAATTTGTTTGTGAACATACTTACTGGTTAATAAGGAGCTAAACTGAATTTAAACTAAATTAAAAATATAATTTCCACTTGTTATTATGGATCTGAATTGTCTCCAGCGCCTTCAGGACACCTAGCTCAAATGTTCTTGGTTGTATGTTACATTATCGATGGCTACTAATATAAAAATATGAAGAAGAAAAATTGTTTTTATTCTACACAAAAAGAGTCAACCACTACCGGTGTGTGAGCGGGCCACAGACTCAATGACTAAATTAAAGGACCAGCATTCATTCATTAATGAATGCAACTTTGGGCCAATCTTAGTTAGGACCACTAATATATACCAAATAACAAAATATTTAACACAAATTTCCCATTTTGGCCTGTATAGTACAAGATCAACTCTTTTCAGCTCCTAGATGTAATTACATAGTCTCGACTATTACTGGTGGTTGGATAATCAACAGCGTAATTTAAATGCCTAAATCTGTGTTTTTTTGTTTAAGAAAACTATGGTGACATATATCATTTTAAAACCATTGTAAAATAGAACCAAAATGTCATGGACACACAGTCAGTCAGTCAAACACGGCACCAATAATAGACCGTTGCATAAGCCAAATACAATCTTAAGGATTTTCAACACGGAGTCACTTTTGCGATGTGCGCATGATAGAGCAAACACTCCCCGCTAGTTCGGATATAGGCTTGTACAAGGGTGAATTTAGAAAAACTCTATTTGATATCTCAACAATCTCATTTCTTATTCATTGAGGACCTACCCTATACATCTCTGTGTAAAACGAGTAAAATCTCAACTTGATGATTTCAGAAAACATTCAAATGTACTTGGAGATGTGTTCGCTGCAGTTCTATGTCACCAACAATCCGTAGTGGACGCGGAAGCGTTTTCACGTAAGAACACGTTCTATGGGTCAATCATTAGTGTGTAAAACATGAATGCCACTTTAAAAAGGTCGGTGACCCAATATTGTTTTAGAAAAATTACAATGTTTTTTTTTATATCTGAAAGGCTCGTTTTTTTTATATTTATTCATTAGAGCCTCAACAACAAGGTCCCTTACCCTCATTTTTTTGTTCATGCTAAGACATTTGTTTTTTTGTGTATCACACAAACTAGTTGAATCATTGTCGCGAGACAGTTACGTAAAACACCAGCTGAGTATGATTTTGGCCATGTGTCATGGCGTACCAAGCCACAAGAGGCCGGTAACTAGTAACGAATCCGGTATTCTGAATGGTCCATCATTTTCTCGCTGCTTGTTCTATTTCCCTTGGTTACCTGACGTCAGCGCTCACGCTCGTGGCCGTTCAGGGGTTTTCTTTTACTTTCGAAAGTTGGGCGAATAAAAAACTGTTTATTTTGTTATAAATTTACACAGAAACAGCGAGGAATGTCATAAACATCTCTTATATGTAAGTCTAATAGGCAGAATACATGACCAATGGCTTTATTATAGTATTACAGACACGTTTTAATACGCAGAACGGAACTTAGAATGTTTTTAAAATTGGGCACTTAGCACTTGCCTTCCGGCCGGAAAATCGGCCCAAATGGAACAATATGGCGATTACTAGTTACCTGCGTCCTACTGGCCATTCGCAAAGAACGCCGGGAACCAGCGAAAGTGCGATTAGGCTTTCTGCCGGAACCATCACGTGACCTAGATGTAACTAATTTGTACCATGGCTGTTGCGGGCGGGGGGCTCAGCCAATTAAATCGTCGTTGTGAAAACACAGAGCTTAATTTGTAGTTAATTTTTCTCATATTCGGTGATGTTGGTACGTCTGTCTCGTATGACATGTAAACACGGATATTCTAGAATGCCTCAGGTCTCAATGGTAGTGTAAACATGACTTCCGGCTCACTATATTTTGGAGGGGGCTTTCGAATCTTACAGCACTTTATTTGTAATGTTGGGCAATATATCATAACGAACTCAGTTTCCAATTATTAGTATTCTAAGCTAAAACTCCAGTCATCTTATAAAAATATAGGCTACCAAGAGTCAATTCAAGCGAACTGACAAGGGAATGGACAATCCTGTGACGTTGTGGCAAAACTAGCTGATCGTTGTCGTTTGGTGTACAAAATAAGAATGTATGGTATACGTCCAGGATCACATCTCGGCAATAGACCTGGACGCCTTTTTACAGCCCAGTTGACAATATGAACAATATTTGTTTCAGGCGAATGAATACGATCTCATTTTTTCTACTGATATCTCAAGTACGACTCGACATATTTCATGAAAACTTGGTACAAAGACATAAACTTGTCTATGATAATATGCAGAAATAATCGTATCAATTGAGACCAATAAATACTAATTATCTAATTTGCATAACTACTAACGATTTTCAAATTGCACTAGTATAGTAACAGACTTAAGTGAAACTTAATGAAGAGATTCCGCGAAGAATGTGCAGATCTGATTTGTTTTTACTTGAAAATCGTGCATATTAATTACCTATTTTACAGAAATATGTTGATCTTAATTAAGATATTATTATTATGTTTAAGTATAATTTGTTTTACCGTAATTGAAATATGACTAACGAAAAAATCGTAAAATGTTAATAATTAATTGTGTTAAAAATAAAATGTAAGTGTTTGTTTTTAAATTTTTTTTTATACATTTTCATGAGTTTCGCTTGTATAAAAGCGAAATCACGTATCACTACTTCCCGGATTAAGTTCGCGTACTAACTCCCTTGCCCTTTTTAAGTTGTTGACAAGGATCACTAAGGTATGATTACATTAAGACTTTCAAGTCGACCTTAGAATTGTTAATTAGTAATGAAATACTATTACCGTACCAACACAAGCGTACGTGTCAAGCTGTTAGAAGATAATTTCATATTACTTACATGTCCAATTTCCTTTATTAATTGCTTAATCTTCTGTTACACTATTGATATGAAATGTATCACTGCATTAACCTTTGTTATTTAACCAGTTAAGTCAAAGTGACAGAAAGCAATGACTGTCTTCCCGTTTTACCTGCAACACAAAGACATGTTCGTCACAGCCTTGCTCACATTTCCAACTCATTGACTGGACAGTGATACTTAATAATGCTAATATTGGGGAATAGCTTCCCGTTATTTTAATGCATCCGGTGTAATTAAGGCACCTGTATAAATTATGGTGTCACCGTGTGATATTCACTGGGAGAAACTCCGGGGAGAAACTGTGCACGACAAAAAACGGAAACAAGTATAATAATCTCATATATATATATATATATATATAATGTGTTTTTCGCCAATCTATCTGCCACAATGTTGCTCTAGTATAGAATTATGATAATGCTGTGCATATACTTATATGGATTATTGTATTTTTTGTATGCTAATTATATTTAACATAATATTGTACTATATACGTTCCAAGTACGTACTGTATCTTATCCTATAAGCTGTTTTTCATTCACTTATAAACCTAGATTAACTTCAGATGCGATAAATGTGAAATTAAATTGAATTTATTTGTATTATTGTATTCATCATATGCGTACGTGTTAATACCCACACCTAATTCTTAGGATGTATTAAAATAACTATAATAGTTTATCTAGTTTGTAACCCTTGTAAGGAAGGAGAACGGTGTAGCGAGGGGTTACCTCGGCTGATTGCTTGTGTGAATAAAGCTGGACTATCTGTTGTGAACTTATGTGTATTCATTTGGGTCGAATCTGGTATCTCTATGTGTAAGTGACATCGGCCAAGCGAGACGAAGTTCCCCGATCCCGTTCATAATACATGTACGAGATTTTGACTGTGTGCGCAAACCTAGAACGAACCTACAACCTGCCAGCGACTTGACGTACTTCAGAATGTTAGACACAAAAGCATAATGCCGTAAATGGTATATTGCCGTCAATTTATTTGCCGTTGATGGTATGTTGTCGTATTTTCGTAGATAGTACATTGCCGTAGATGGCATTTGGCT